CAATCAATATTTGCTATGTCCAAATACATTTCTTTTGAATTAAAGAATATTTAAAATCTCAATTAATCAATTATTCACTCTCAAACAATCAATTATTTTAATTGGCAGGAAATCAAATAATTCAGGGTTTTGCAACTTAAAACTAGTATTGCATGACATCTGTCTTAAGGCAAATTGCTGAAACTTTCTGTACCGAAGATTAAATTTGAAAAAAATTTGAAAAAACGAGCTCTTTGAAAAAAATAATTAATACTTTAATACGAATTGATTAATACGATTAATACGACCCGCCATACCAATACAAGTAAAATATTTTTTGAATGATTGAAAACAGATGCCTACTTCTCTCAAAAACTGAATTACCATTTTTGGCACTTTTCGCCCCGTATTTTTGAAACGGCTGGACTTGCCTTGACCAAAAATTAATCAGCACATATCCTTATCAATAGGCATCGAATCATTCAAATCGGTAGATTCATGTTCTCAAAATCATCGACGAAAATTTGTATCCGCACAGACATCGATTTTTTCTAAGGTATGCGAAAATGTTCAGAAACCTTGGAAACGTAAAGATATATAAAATTTTTCATTTTACCCTACGAGAATTTAATTAATATTATGATGTAAGAATAAATTATTTTGCATTGTTTTTTATTAGTAAATGAGTTGTTATATGAAACGATCTATAATAATTGTTGATTCCCTCAAATTGTTGCTTAATATAAATTATGTCTTTCATAATTTTGTTTTAAAACTTTTGTACCTTTTATTAAAGAAATTTGTTGATTTATCTCTATTATAGTTTTTGCCATATTCATGTTTGCAATAAACTATATGGATTATATCTTGGATATTATATCAAATATCTATTGCTTAATTGCTTAATCCTGCCTGATGTCCACTTACAATTAGTTGGTATTGCAGTATGTAAAGGTCGTATCTCTGTATATTTCGAAATTCATCTATAGAAGTTTCGTTAAGCCATTGATTTCGTAATCGATGACTATTTATGTTTCCTCACGTTGTCAGACAGAAATGCTTAATTGATATTGTTTAATATCATGTCGAATGCTCACACGGACGGCCTTGCGTTCCGCAGTCAAAAGACGTGAGAAGAAATAAAATGCACGGGATTATAATATGTGTTACACGTGGAATCTGCAATTGCACTTTTATAGACAGAGCGCTAATAAATATTTGCTGATTTTATTTTAGTTTATTTAAATAGATAATCTTATCACATAGTTTTTATAAGCCTATGTGATGATGTTATATTGGCGTTTTTGAGGTCTCTTTCTTTGAGGAAAAATTTCCTGCTGGAATAAATCTATAGCTGTCTGTATAGGATTCATACTTGTCCTTTTCCATATATTGCCCTTTGGCCATATCTTATTGTGTCTTCTGGTTTGGTTCATTTTGTTGATGATTTGTATTTCTGCGTACAACTTTTACTCTCCTAATTTCCAGGTTTGATATACATGCACATTCTCATATTTCCATAGATCCATATTGGTACTAGTTCGGTTTTGTATATTAATGTTTTATATGAGTATGGCATTTTCGATTTTCCTCCAATCAGCCTGTACGATTGTTTAAATTTTTTCAATATTTGTTTGCTCTTTTGTTAGATGTGGAGACTCCACATGAGTCCATGGTCTAGAAAGAACCCTAAATAATTAACTCTTTTGGGACGGCTGTCCACCTGAGTGGACAAACGTACTCTGTGAAGCACAGGCTATTTTATAAACAATGACTCAGTTTGCATCGAAAAGTCGAATAAATTACATATAGCAGTGATAAATAGTGTTGTATTGTGAAAATAATTTTAAGTTATTATGGTAGTATTTTTGCCCTTTTCTTTGCTATATAGTCTTTTTTTAATATTCAAAACGACCGAGCGCTTTTAAATATGGCAAAACGACTGGTGAATTTTGTGGAGTTTCAAATAGACATTCATACAGAAAAATTTCGAAGAAGTTCGACAAATTAAATGAAAAGCGGAAAGACATTAGCGAATGTGCCAATTTTCCTTCAATAATCGAGTTTGACATACATCAACAAACACCCCGACTACAAATACCAAGCAATATAAGACATCCAATAGATTATTTCACTTTATATTTTACAAATGAATTACTAGGCAATATAATAGAAAAAAACAAACCATTATTGCAGCAAAAAAATGAACAAATATACTGACTAATCAGTGGCATATTCTAAATGCGAGAGAAATAAAAAGGGATTGTATTGTCTGTTCTGAATAGAATCTCAATAGTAGGTCTCAGGTTCAATATTTGCCTCGAACAGATAGTTGTCATCGATTTTCACCTGAAAATAGCAGTAGTGCTATTTAAATATAGATAGCAATTTCTTTCAAGGAATAATAACCCTAACCCGTTATTCTTGCATTCAATAAAAGGTCATTGTTATTGAAGTTAGTCTAATAAAAAATTACCCAGAAAATATAGACCAACCGTTGGGTTGCCACATGTACAGCTACGTTAATAAGATGATTAAGATATTCTTCTTCATTTATCGAGCGATAAATGCGTCACTTTAAATAAATTATAGTTCATTAGCTCTCTGTCTGCAACCTTCATATATCGTCGGCGCATCTTTTGTTCTCACTATTGTTTTATTCATATATATTGCATTCATTTAGAATTTTAATTGTCTGGCATATAGAACGCGCACTGCCCATTTTATTTCTCGTTTTGTATGAGAAAATGGGATTCATTTATCCAATTGAACTTGGAATTGTCGATAGAGCTCAAACAATAACAATATGATAATAGATTTAAATTATTTATTTTTATTTGTTTTTATTTGTTTGTTTCTTTTAATTCGTATAATTTCATACGATGCGCATAATTTGAAACCTTCATTAAAGGATTTGCAATAGTACGTAGCAACCCTTTTCTTAAATATATATTGATACAATTATGTAGCTATAAACTTAATTTCTTTTTATTGCAGAATGCAATATAACATAAAGGTGATAATCATTTTGTTTAACGGCTATAGAAGGAATCCCAATAGTAGTCCTATTCAAGCTTTTATCTCTATTTTTCTTAAAGAAGACAACCCAATGGTTATTATTTCATGAATGTGATATTTTCTGGAGTAATGACAGGGAAGTCTAGTTTTACTTGGAAACATTTTTATTCTATTTTTGTGATAAAGTGAATATAATTATCACCACTGCTTGATACTGGTTGCAGACAGCGAAGGATTTGAGCTCCAAACCTTGTGGTTGCCAGGCCAGAGCTCTACCTTTTGTACCCTCTATTCCTCAAAGTAATAAATAGGGTATTAAATTTTCGAAAGTAGTAAATAAGGACGAAAAAATAGTCTAATATTGCGTATTGCTAAAAAAATTTGCGTATTGCTAAAAGGATCAAAGAATATACATATATGACTTATATTGCTTTAATATGCATATTTACTTTCTTTCCTATTCTGATTCAATATTTGTTGTTATTAATTGCTGTACTATTTATTGTTATCTTGTCGATTTTTTATTTATATTTAGTCTGTTGTTATAACACACAACTCATATAATGAGGTAATGAAATTCTCAATACACTTTTCGAGTATGACTTGGAATAAAAAGATATTATAACGATCTTTAATTTAATAATTAGAAAATATAAATATTTATTTTTCACATCTAATAGTCTTTCTTTGACAGATTTCTTGTTGAACGAGAACTGGTGTATGTGCTTTACGTAGTTATGAAATGTATGTATTAAAACTCTTCGATGAACTCAGGTTGTGGGGTTATAATTTAACCCTTGTAACTCTGGACTGTATTAACACTTTCGGGACGGCATCAATTTCAAAACAATCTACTTTACCGGCTGTAAACTTGATTTCATTGTGTATGTTATGCAATTTGTTTGATAAAAATTTGAAAGACATACATTTATAATATTAATTTATTTTTGATCATTTTATAAAGAATGGTGACGTTCAAAATGCATAGCTGGTTGATTTTGACATGTTTTACAATAAAATGTTGTTCGCCGCCTTCCTCCTAGTGCTTTTCTGTCAGAACAGCCAATACAATACCTTTCATCATCACATTCATCGCTATCATCGGTGCGAATAGTAATTTCGCAAAATTTGTCTGTATGAATGTCTATTTGAAACTCATATTCACTACTGCTTAATTCACAAAATTTACCAGTCGTTTTGCCATATTTAAAAGCGCTCGGTCGCTTTAAATATTAAAAAAGATCATATAGTAAAGAAAAAGGCTAAAAATACTACTAAAATAATTTAAAATTATTTTCAAAATACAATACTTTTTATCACTGCTATATGTAATTTATTCAACTTCTCGATGCAAACTGAGTCATTGTTTATCGAATAGCCTGTGCCTCACAGAGTATGTTTGTCCACTGAGGTGGACAGCCGTCCCCAAAGTGTTAAACACTGATTTGCTTTGTATTTGTATGTATTTGTTGCAGTTCTTATTACAATCACTGATTTGTCACTAAATTATAATGAAGAAGATATATTTATTTATTATTCATTACATATGTTGTTTCGCGGAATTTACTTTTAAAGTCGCTTTAAAATATCCGCTAACCATTTACCAGGGTTAGCCTCTACCGTGTTAAAACTCAATGCCATAAAGATTGTCACCTTCATGGCCATTATAATAAAACGAAAATACGTCCGAACAGGTAGTTTTTTATCTTTGCCATCTTCTGAATCCTTTTTCTTCTTTTGGGTTTTGGCTGCTGTCAAATATATCAAATATTTTTCTTTTGATTATTACTTTGAATTGATTATATAATTACATTCATAAGTAAGCCTAAATAATAATAATAGTTATCTTTATTTTAGAATATGAATTTTTAAATTTTTAACCGTAGGTATATCAATATTTGTTAAGGCTTGATAAGTAGATATTTAGGTTTTTATGCGAAAAACAGATTATAACTAACAAGTATATACATATTCATATTTAATATCCAAAACGTGGGTTTCAGGTCGCTTTGGTGAATGTTGTTCATCTGCGAGATCCAGTCTGCCCTTTACCTACATCTATGTTAGGACAATATTTAAAACAAGGCAGTGGACAATTATCGTCGCTAAAGGTAAATGAATATTTTTCAAAAAAATGTGGTAAGTTTATTATATTTTATTACATATTATTTTTATATCAAATATTATTCATGTTGCTTGTTATGTATACATTTCAATAGCATTTATGTAAATTGGTAACGTTAGTCCTGTCGTAATATTCTTATTGATTACATTATAAATATAAATATCTACTATTTTAATTTTTATATTTCGTACTAAACTGAAAAAGGTTGACTCTGAAAATATGGGACTCGAAAAGTTTCTTCACTTATTCAATCATATCATTTAAAGTGTAAACTATAAATTATGTTAATTGATAATAGCATAATAAATAATAAACTATTCAAAAACCAGTCAAGGGGATAAATTTGACCCGCGAATTATTCATTATCTTAGGTAAAAATGTTTTTGAACAAAGACAGAATGATTAATTTTCATTTTATTATTCTAGATAGTATAAATAAACTAGTTGTAAGTGGCATTTTGCTTAGGCAAGTTGCATGAATTTCTCGAACTTATACATAATCAACATAATCAACAAATCAATAAAAATTGAATTCAGCTATTTAGATAAAATGCTCAGCTGTTTATTTTGAAAAGGAATATATCGCTTTTATTAAAATGATTTTCAATAAATACCGTTACACAATTGTGATATATGTAATTGTAAAAATTTAATTAATTTTTTCTACACCATTCTCTTAATTCTTTTCGTGTTCTGAAAATGTATTTTATTTGAGTGCGTACGTCATCTGTAATCAGTAGCTACCAACAAAACACCACGAATCGTGTATAATCGACGAAATTCTGAACTTTGATAAATTTTTAATATTCAATCGCTTATCATAGGCCTATAATCGTTTAGTAGACCATGATATCTATAGTTGTACAAAATTTCATAAAAATCGTCAAAAAATCAACATTTAATTAAAAATAAACGTCTTGGCCAAAGTTCACCAAAAACTAATCAACGTCATTTCTAAGCAATATATTTCGAACAGTTTTTGATTCTTTTAAATCCATTTAAAATTGTGGGTTAAAAACCCACGCCAATAGAAAGGTTGAAATGTGGACGAAATATTTCACACTTTTTTGTTAATTATAAAGAATCAGCTCGACCGATAGTCGCACAGAACTTGATTCTAATCATTATCGAGATACAATGAATGGCTTTTAATTTTTTTTTAATCGATCCAGCCGCTTTTTGAGAAAACTTAGATTTTAATAATTCAAAAAACATTTTACTTTTATTAACAAGGTGAAGAATTGATTAAAAAAGTAGAAAACCAGGTCTAGCGGTTTCGGAGATCTAGTAAAAAAAGTAAAAGATAATGCCATTTGGCGGTCAAAAATGATCATAAGACATATGCACATCAAATTATCAGATATTTTATGGAGATTTTAATAATGTGTATCAATTTTCTTTACATCTTTACATTTTCTATGAGTTTTGTAACGTCACTTGTCCGTTAAACGTCGACGAGGCGCTCACGCGCTTTGATATTTTGCCTATATGCAGCTAAAGCAGTGCGATTGCTTTGAAAAAAAGTTCCAAATTTCTAAAATATTTCAAAGTAAAAAAACAACATTTTTTTCAAAAGTTTTTTTTTTCAAAAATTCAATTTTCATCAACAATTTTAAATTTCTCACAAATTTAAGTTTTTCAAAGTGAAAAAAAAATTTTTATATTTTCTAAAAAAAATAATTTTTGGTACGAGAAGTTCCAGCAATTTGCCTTAAGGCACGTTGCCATACACCACTAGTTTTATTTATTTTTTATTGTCTTTTACCGTTGCAGCAATTGTACCTGGCAACACCAGGTGATACCAACAGCGCAAACGACATGACCCAGGCGCAGTTTTCGGCCAGTGACCGTGATTCGACCTATTCTAGTCTGATAGGGCAACCCGACCAGCTCTGCGTCGTGTGTCAATGTTTTCCGCTGTCGAGGGCTCTGCTTCCTTGCAGGCACACGTGTATATGTGCAATTTGTTTTAGTGAGTTATGTGATTAGGATAATATGGTTGTTTGCTTCATTCATCACATTTTGATAATTAGATCAATTAGTAGCATGATACAATTTAGTCTTCATCACATTCATTCAGTTATTGGTTTTTTACATTTACTATGATCCATATTCAATTTTACTAAAAATTATTTTTGTTATTTATTATAAATTGTGTAGTTTTAGTGATAAAAGTGATGAAAGAAATAATCTATATATTGTGATAATCATAAACAGTCAAAGGTAAGTTCATTTTCAACTAATTGTAAGTAGCATTTTACCTCAGGGCAATTTGCATGAAATTTCCGATCCGTATACAAAATCAACTTAATCTGTAAAAAATCAGATTCAGCTACAGTAGAACTCCAATTATCCGAATTAATGGGGACCGGGACCGATTCGGATAATCAAATATTCGGATAATCAAATATTCGGAGTTTTTTTTTAAAAATTGCCATTGGAGAGAAAAAAAGTTACGTTTTGATATTGCACTATTTTTTATTGAATTAAATGAAAGAAACATTACATTTTCACATGTTTTAAATATAAATAAAATGTACTTATGTACAAGTTTAGAAATAAAAATCATTGTTTTGTAAACATCTCCGTCAAATCAAAACGAACAATGTGCCTACACTGACTTTGCTCGTGGAAGAATAATAGCGCACTTAGACTTTTTTGGACAATTTTTTTTCTGAAAGTGATTCGGATAATCGGCGATTCGGATAATCGGCGATTCGGATAATCGGCGATTCGGATAGTCGGCGATTCGGATAGTCGGAGTTCGGATAATTGGAGTTCGGATAATTGGAGTTCAGATAATTGGAGTTCGGATAATTGGAGTTCGGATAATTGGAGTTCGGATGATTGGAGTTCGGATAATTGGAGTTCTACTGTATTTATATAAATAATTCAAATGTTGTTTGGAAAATAATCTTTTTGCTTTTTCTAAAAAAATAATTAGGACAATTTTCAATTGATGTATTTCAAGCATAATTATAATATATGAAATTGTATAAAAAAATAAAAGGGCAATATAACTGGCATAGATTCTGATTAGAATCGCTTAAGCGCGCTACAAAATTCTAAACTTTGATGAATTTTTATAATTATCGTAGGCTCATAATATTTTAGAATGTTATTTTAGACTATGAACTTTGTAATTTATTATTTGTTATTATTATTAATTAAAATCTTTCAATTTTTTTCAACATTTAATTCCCAACCAATATCTTTCAAAACGTTTTTACGTTTTTTAAAATCGATTCAAAATTGTGAGCTAAAACGTGCACTAAAATTTTCACCCTTTTCTGCTAATTACAAAGAAACAGCTTGGCCGATCGTGGCGTAAAACTAACCAACGTAGAATGTAGAAGTAGACAATAATTTGATTTTTTGTTTGATAATATGTAAATATGGGAATTCATTAGAAGAAGGAATGTCTTTCTCTTCACTTTGTTTGGTATAATAATTAGCTTCATAATTTGATAATCGAGCTCATTTGTGATTGTTTTGCTAAATTGTTGGTTTAACATTCCTTGCCTATGTAAAAAATCTTGGCATTGAAATTACGAATTGTACTGTATGTTTTATACTATTATAGTGAATAACTACATTTATAATGATACACATAATTTTATTAATTTAGAAATATGAACAAACAACACTCTTTTTTGCACTAGTTTATTAATGATTTTACAAACGTTTCGAGACTAGGTTTGTCTCATCATCAGTGTGTTATAATTGTTATAATTTAAAATCTAAAATATGGAAACCTAAATTAGCATTATGTGATATCCGTTACAAGTCGTTCATTGTACTTATAATTTTATTTTTAATAGTTATTTTTACCAGCGATCAGTACTTGAGGTTTCTATAAGCTCTTGTTATGACTATTTTACTAACTACTAATACCTGATAACAACATCGATATTTTATAGGTGGCAACCCAAACAGTTGTCGCATCACCATATGATCAATTTTTATTATTACAATATTTGTAATAAATATGAATTATTATTAATGTATCAATTCCGGATCAGGGCTATTATCACATTTTGTTATATATATTTCCAAGTAAAACCGTTGTCACTACTGCTTGACAACAGGCTGCTCAAAGATCGAACGCGAGACCCCTGATCCAGGTCGAGTCGTTCTAGTCATTTACCTAATAGCGATTCCTTTATTTTTTAAGTGCGATTGTTTCGCATAATTTTTTTCCTATTCATATCATTGTTAATCATATAGTGCATATACATGTTAATTAAAGTTAATTTGTTTCAGTTAATATGTGCATTCAAATGACAACTAATTGTAAGATTAATTCATATCATATGTGTATGTATATGTACTTTATGTACATATATGTAAAGATAAATTGTCAGTTTACCCATTTTAAAGTAACTTGTAATGTAAATTTATGTATTTAAGATACATCAAATTTTGCTGATTTCTGTTCAAAATACTTGTGTCGATGCGAATAAACAAGTTTCGATATCCATGACCTATTGAACGTACGGTGTTATATGGCTTACCTACTACACAATAATACAAAACAAAACCTGATTTTTTATGATAAACACGAAAATGGCGGTAATAACTTGCGTTCATAACACTTGAAAAGTATATAAATCTTTATTTTTATAAAGAATTCAAGAATCATTTCTGCTTTTTATCCAAAACTGTTTTCTGTATATGTAAAACATTTTTACCTTTTGAATTAATTTAAAATTGGGTTTGGATTTTGGGTGTGATATAACTGGTTTTACACGTTTTGTTTACAAATAATTAAATTTTATGTGATGCATGGTTCAATGTATTATAATTATATAATTTTTTATTTGGTTTCAAAGATTCTTTTGATCTTAGCTAAAGCGAATAGTTGGTAACAATAGAAATCATATTGTTAATATTGATATATCTGCGGTAGTCCATTAAAAATTGCGCAATCTCTTTGAAGATTGGCTTTAGTTTATTGCAAATGGTTATTAACTATAATTGAAACCATAGATAAGAGAGTAAAACATTGATTGCAGCATTGAGAAATAAATTACTAAAAAATAAAAATAGTTATTGAAATCAATTAATTATTTCGATTTATTATCAAAATTAGGGTGTGAATTGGTTTACAAATTATGAAAATTTTTTGCACTTAATCGATTTTATATCTTGATTCAATATTATTTTAGCATCTATTTATTCATATTTTTTAAAATATTTGCCTCCATATTTAGCCATATAACTCATAGGGTATGTAAATAACTCTTTGTTATATAATATGAATGAATTAAAAATTAAAATTATTGCAAATAATGATTATGCAGGTAAATGGTAATGTCTAAAGGTTTTTTTAGGTAATGTTCACTAAATTATTAGCACATACATTCTATTTTTCCTAAATACGCAACAAGCACATAGTAGTACTTAATCAGGATATATGGTAGTATTTGGATTCTTATTACTTTAGAAATATTATGTTAGAAATTTTAAGCATATTTAACCAAGAAGATGTGATACTTTGGAATCTTACACCTTTATCGCTTCTTTTTTATATATTTTATTAAGTAAATACAACTGTCTATAAATATGACATCTAGTTTTTTTTTTTGATTAATATAAATAAAAAGGGCATATCAGGCCTTATCTTTATCACTTGAGGTATGATTTGTGTCTTATATATGGCACCGTTAATTAATCTGTGATCTTTTTTAAAATTGTTGGTTTCTTCAAAGCAAGCTTATAGTTTGGCGATGACAAATTATTACAAATATAAACACGAAATAATTATCAACGATAGAAGTTAAAATCATGAATTACAAAATAATCAAAATTTTTCTTTCAATTAGTTGTTAAAGCTGCTTTGACATATACCTAGTATATAGGACGAATATTAGTTCGTGCAAATGCAGAAATTTAAGTCCTGTTTTGAAGTAGACTGTAATAAAATGCTTAAAAAAAATAAAAATATTTATATCGCAGCAGTTCAGTACAAATATATTATAAACTCATAATTCAACCTTCGAAGTTACTAAATTTTTCACGTCTTTACTCCATAAGGGAAGCTTTTATGGTCCATTGTGGTAAGAGCAAGTTGTTTGTTTTGATGTAGGTTTTGTATTAAGAATATATCAAATAAGCAACTAAGTAAATGCGGATTTTTGTTAGAAAATCAAAAAACAATTGTGTAGAACTGAATAATTTTATTCTGCTATGTATTGACTATTTTCATCAACGATCTTATCATATTTCATATAGCATCATTAACCCATTTTCATAAAACTTCCAGTTTTTATTAGCAAAAAACTGAATCAGGTACAATTTGACACCATCATAATCATCAAATTATTTACTATTCAAGCTGCTTCGTAAATATAGAAACGAAAAGTAATCAGAAAGTACAAAACTTTATGGTGGACGTAGCAAAACATTCAAACGAAGATCCAATAATTTTTGCTAGGTGGCCAAATATATGCGATTTCAAAATTGCAATAAAAAACGTTTTGATTTGACAATTTGTCCGCTTTTCTTCAACTGCATAGTTTAAAAATGGTTAGTTGTATACATAAAAATTGATCGTTTAGTTGAATGGTGAGAGTAAAGTAGACAACTCTTTTGTAATTTACTTTCATTGTAATCTTTGAGTATAAAATCACTAGAACGAAATTATTGGCGAATCTGTTTTGACACTGACATTGAATATGTGATTTGAATTTTTTAAGGGTTAGTTACCATAAACATCTCATAATTTTTTGTGAGCATAAAATGTAATTATACCTTTGCCGAAATAAAAATTAAGATAAAAATTTTGAATGGTAAATGAAAACTACGCAATCGATCAGAAAACTTTCTTTACTGATTGTCAGCTGAATTGCTTACTATCCAATAACAAAAGGCATTTTACATTTAAACGAAATAAATCAGCAAATCTAAAAATGCAATTGAAACCAACCTAATAATAATTGCCAACCTAATTATATCAAAATACAAGAAAAAAGTACATATTATTTATTTCTCATATAGCATACGACATTTCAGAGATCAAATGCAATTACTCAGATGATTCAAATTTACATCTCATTAGTGTTGTTTGAGTTTGGTATTCTTCCTCGTCACTCGACCTCATCTGTTGCCTAAAAATCGTATCGTGTTTTTATCAACCCTGCATCACATGGTTATAAAACTTATGGTAACCAAATCCGTTTTACGTTAGAAAATAATTGTTTTTTTTTCCTAGGTAAATTAGATAGATGTCCGATGTGCAGGGCTCCTATATCATCGTTCTTCACGATTCGAGCCGAGGATTACATCCCGCAGTCGGCGATTCCCGCCCACCACACGACGAGGAGCGGCAAAGGCGGCGCGGCCATGTGGCTGGACGCGCTCAACGACCGGCTCACCGACTTCCTCGGATTTCGATAGCGACCGTAGTATTAGGTTAGTTTTAATTAAGATGTTTATTGATAGAGCGAATGTATATGAAGTGTATGAGTTATTGAAATAAAGAATTATTTTATTATAATCTGTAATTGATGATCAATTTTTATTCCGCTTGGTGGGGATATTTTCTTTGAAATTCGTTGTAGCAGCTTTGTCAACTAATGTTTAGTTTACATATATTTCAATGGATATGTACGGCGGTGGTCTGGAGACTTTTTAACCTCAACACAGTTAGCATATATGCGTATGTGTATGTATAAGTTTTGTATACCGAAGGACATGCATCTACGCAACTCAGACTAGGTTTTTTGTCTGGGTATGTTGGACTCAATAAATACTTCTTTCAATTCGTAATGACGGGTAGAAGTGATAGTTTCTGGGAAGGCAGGTCCAGCCGCTTTGGAGATACCAAGCTAAATGTGAAAAAAATGGCAGTTTTTGAGAGAACTAAGCATCCGATTTAAATGACCCAAGAAACATTCTGCTTGTGCTGACGATTGCTTTTGGGATTTTTTTTTTAAATTATTTTTTTAATTTCCAAAAAAGTTTTTGTGAATATCGAAAATAAATCGAATTTTAATTTTTTTAGCTAAAAATCTGAAGCTCACTAATATACTTAAAATAAACAATTTTAAATTTGCAATTCAGTTTATATATTTCTTATGAATATTAGACGTCCTTCATTTTAAATTCGATTGATTAAGTTTTATTTATTTAGTGTTTTGTAAACATATATAAGTTACAGTATTTGAAAAAATAATGTATTTGAAAACATTTAATATTCTTTGAATATTTCATTACGGTACGGTAGGTTGTAGCAATTTGCCTTATGGCACGATGCAATTCACCACTAGTCATTTATTATTTTTGAATTAATATCTCTCCATATCTCGAAGATATACAGTAAAAGTTCTAACATCTTATTATTGGGAATGCAACCAAGTAGTTGTCCTATTTTAGTTGTAGTATAGTATGACTATACTGAATAGTTGTTTGGCTTCATATTTGTATATGCAGCGATTCGTGTTTGGCAATAATTGAGACATAAAAATTGAAGTGGAAACTCACTATATACTCACTATACATTATATGCTGCCTGATATCGAGCTGACATAATTTAGCTAGCCCACGTCAGTTACGCCGCTGGCCTAATTAATACTATTTTATATGACTTTTAATCTTTATTTGGCCGCATTAATAGTTTGCAGAGTAACGTAGTTTGATAATAATTTTTTTAAATTCATTATTGTTCAATGTCCAAATTCACAACCAATGTTGTGTTGTGAGGCACTAAATTTTTCTGGCGTTCAGTTAGCATTGTAATTTTGTTTTTGAATATTTCTGAATTTATTTATATTATATATAAAAACTTCAATTCAATATTTAATGTAAAATATTCATCTCTAACAAAATATCGTTCTCTGTGAAATTTAACCAAATACAATCTAATATTAATTGATTCACTTAAAAATTCGTTATCACGTTAATAATTTCAATTAAGAGTGTGGTTTGATATACTGAAAATCACCTATTTGTAAGATTAGGAAATTTAATTATTTTATTCAAGTGTTGGAACTTTCTTTGTGTGTATATTGTGTAAAGTATATAAATCGTGTATTTTATAAAAAAAAAAATTAATCGCGTAGATATATACTATGTATAGAAATTATTAGGTGTACATTATTTGATCAAGATAAGCATTTTACCAAAATTTTGAACAACATGATATATTAGTTGATATATCTTACAAAACTAAATAAAACATTAAGGGGGCAATTCTCCGAAGAAATAGAAATGTTATGGCACCGCATTGTTACGAACCTATCTTTATATGAATTGGTAGTAATGAATTGTCAAAAAGCTATTTATTTATCTTGCGATCACGCCCTGTAGACATAAAATCTAACCTACAAAACGCATAAACGTCAAATAGCAATTTTTTCATAAGTGCATATTTCTGATGACTTATTGATAACACATATGTGAAGTTAATTTTATGTGTAAAATACCTGATCGCGCATGAAATACATATCTTTTTGAAGTTTTTGCTATTATTTCATATGAAGAAAGCACCGCCATAACATTTCTATTTTATCTTAGAATTGGCTTCTTAAACTCATCTTTTAGCCCTTTCCACTCGGATGCCGCCGCTCTGGCAGCAAAATACATATTAAATCTGCAATTCGTGAGTGGGAAGGGTATTATTAACTGAGGTTCACTGCTGGTTTGTAAATTTTTATCACAATATGATGCTTAGGTTTCGATTTTATTATGATTATTTCAAATTCTCAATTTGATATTAACCATAAATTTTTTTTTTTGTTCTGAGTAAAATTACGTTAATAAAAGTTTGAACGTAAATTAGAGACGTGCACCCATATGCCACTAAAATTTAACGATATTATCGATTTTTTACACTAGAGATATTACATCTGATTACATATACATTCATGATAATTATTATGATTACTGTTTCGTAGACATCATGCATTAACATAAAATAATTTTGAATATCTATTCATTTCTTGATTTACGCAAACGAAACAACAATAAGAACTTTTATTTTGATCATTATTCAACATGTTTCTATTTATTGAAAATGTATTATAAAATGATCGATCACAAAGAAATGCTTTTATATAACGTTCGATCGGCTGTTGTATTCAAAACCTTCTTCCAAAGAACAAATAGTAAATTTTTCATTCATAATCCAACTCAGAAAAAAACGAATAGACAAGCTTCATTGTCAAAAGCGCGAACGCTATTATATTTTCTAAGGAAATTTCACTTTTTCATAATTACATCAAAGCGCTGTGGGTTTTAAAAGCGGTTGGAAGAAGATTGTTACAGTCCAGTCATAATAAACTCTTACACCAGATAAATACTATTTAAATAGTATAAATTGGATAATATAATTACATCAGTCACATACTTTAATGTTGCTATTGTACATATTTTTATATTAACAATTACTTTAATTAAATTATTAATTTACCGTAGTTACCCTACGTTACAGCAATCGCAAAAAAATTGTAATCGAAAATTGTTGCATATCTTTCAAAGCCTTTTCAATATTTTGGCATACCTTAAAAAAAATTGATGTATGTATAGACGAAATGGTTTTGTGAAAATAATCTAGTTCTCAATAATGATAAGACCCAAATCATATCTTTTTGTACAAAAAATCGTTTATCCAATAATATTACTTCTTTAACCATCAATAATTCAACACATAATTTTTCGCAAGTATCAAAGTTTCTTGGTATCCATATTAATAATAATTTAAAGTGGTCTGATTATATCTCTATCTCTCTATCACCAACTTTATCTAGAACATGTTTCATGTTGCGCACCCTAAAACCCAAACTTGGTTTAAATTGCTTACTTTCAGTTTATTATAGCAACTTTTATTCTCACGTTTCATACGGCATTCAATTCTGGGGTTTTTCATCCGAACTAATTAAAATATTTAAGCTTCAGAAAAGAGCTATTCGAATAATTTTTTCCTTGCCCAGTAAAGCCTCCTGCAGACCCATATTTAAAAAATACAATATTCTAACTGTCCCATGCATTTTTCTGCTGGTAACATTAACTTTCATCAAAAACAATTCGAAACTTTTTGATATGGCTTCGTCCTCAAATTACAACACTAGACACAAAGCTATCAAGGCGCGTACATATAAATTAGCCAGCTCTTTCAATACGATCGACGGTCTAGGTATTCAGCTTATGAATAAACTTCCACTCAATATCCGAAACTTAGACAGCAAAAAATTTCATGCTTCCCTAGTTAAACTTTTTAAAGACATAGCTTTTTATGACATTACTGAATTTTCTCAATTTGAATTCAATAACTATTTTCTTGCATAATCCTTATCCTGTATCTATGTAGTCTGGCCATTTGATCGCCTGTACAACCATTATATTTTTTTTTCTGTTTTTTTTATTGCTATTTTATTAATTTAAATTTTTTACGGTTTTAAATGAGTATAACTTTCAACCTTGTGCAAGAATTTTGAGCTTGACTGGTGGTCAAATAGACTTTAATATGATGAACTTGATGATGAACATTGTATTTAATGTTCGAATGTTTTTTTTTCAGCTCTTTTTTTTCAGAAGCGAAATTCGTGCAGCTACTATGATTATTATAAAATTACTATCCTTTTAATATTAACTATGAATAAGCTTGACAAGAGCCTGAAATAATATCTATTATTATTGATTACGGCTTGCTTATGAATAAATAAATAAATAAAAATAAATAAAGTGTGTGTGTCTGTAGTATAATATACTACACACGTATATTATACGTGTGTATTTTTGTTCACGATTTTGGGGTCACGGACAACCGATTTAAAGATTCAAAAAATATTTGATTCGTATTGACTGGGAGACGTGCCGATTAGTTTTTGGCAAAGGTGGCAGGTCCAGCTGTTTCGAAGATAAGGCGCATAAAGTACAAAAACCCGATCAAAATGATTCCATTCATATAGTAGCACTTCAGTGTCACCTGTCAGTAAGCTAGTTATTGTGCTTGGATTCATCGATAATAAAGTAAAATTGGACCGGGTTCAAATCCCGCCAGTGTCTATTTTTTATTCATTTTTTACGTTTGTATAATTAAATATTAAAAACAATTTTTATAAATATTAACTCATTGCATATATTTCGCAAATAAGAATTGATATATTTGACCATAAACATAAACAAATATGTTAGAAATATGGGATAAGGTTTTCTAATGCGCAATGAAATAAGAGGCAAGAGACAAGGTCCTTTCCTTCTAACAATAAAACCACTTGATTAGGTTTTGTTTATACATATATTTCATTTAAACTTATAATATCTATTCATTGATCAATTTCTGTTAAATGATTATTTTTATATTTCTCGAATGTTTATTGACGCTACGGAAAGTTCCTGCAATTTCTCGTAATGCACGATGCACCACTAGCTTGTTTTCTTTGTTTACATTTTTTTCATACTTATGAGTCTGT